GTGAGGCGGGCGCAGCCTCCGGCCCACAGAACGCGCCGTGGGTCGGGTGCGGAGTGGCAGCCCGGGCCCGAGTGCTGCTGCTCCGCCGGGGTGCTCGGCCCGGGGCCTGCGCTGCTGGCAGCTCCCCTCGGGAGGCCTGTGCAGGCAGCCTGCGGCGCGGCCCCGGGGCGTCCCCTGGAAGGGATCTGCTGCCGGGAAGAGAAAGCGAGCAGACGCTTTGGGGAGCAGTCTGGACGCAAGAAACTTTTGGAGCCCTGAGTCGGTGTGCTCCGTGGTTTTCTCTCCCTTGGTACCTCGCAGCATGCCAAGATAAGGGAAGTGGACGAGAGCCTTGTCCAAAGTTGACACACCAAATCCAGGCAGCCTGTGGCGCTGTGCAGTGCTGAGCTTTCCGTGGGCCCTACTTTGGCTGTGGAGACACAATGTTACAAAAAATGATAGAAAACCTGTCAACTGTTTCCTGCTATACCGAACTACCTCGGACTTGAAAGTGATGACTCCTGAGACCCTTCCCGGAGAAGTTTCCTCCGTGCAGTGTAATTAATTTTGCTTTTTGTATTGAGTTTGTACTTACGATTTTTTTTTGTTTGGTTATGCTAATGACAGACATGCTGCTGCATTATTCCTGGTTTGTTTTGTCATAGAATTTCCTTCTCGAATCGCTCATGAGTTAGTAATGATTTGTCACAGAAGAAAAACTCCAGTACACAGTTCTGATAATTTATAAAAATATTCATTTAGAGGAACATAAAACCTCGGGTTTTTCAATAGGGATGTAGACAAAGGATAAATCATAAATCTCTTGAATTAACTTTATTTCCTCTTAAACTCCTCTAATTTTTTTCTTTTCAGCAAGCTCCAGTACACCACAGTTTGTTAAAGGCAATGAAATACAAACTCCCAGAGAACCTCTTTTTAATTTATTTTAAAAAGCAGCCCTTTACAAAAAAGCCCTTTATGCTTTTAAACCTTAGTCTTTCTATTGTCTAGAGGAAAATTAATTCCATAATTGCAAAATATGTCTCTCAGTATGTATTTGCATCCATACCAGTTACAGGGAAAGAGACATTTCTAATGAGTAAACTATTACCACTGCTCTCACTCACAAGAACTCTGAAAACAGACTCATGAGAATTGTGTCATGGAAAATCTAAACAACAATCTCGTGTCTCAGACTGATGTGCCCAGGCATGAACTCTAGGCCAAGGTAAAGAAGTTGAGAAGAGAGTTTAGCAGCTGAGAATGTGCTTGTGTGCTGCACCCTCAGTGATATGAAATTTCCATCTCGCCCCTTTAGTTGTCCACTTAAATGACATAGAAAAATACATTCTCAGATGTTTGTCTTAGATCTATCACAGTCAACTGTGTGTCCATTGCCAGTTAATAACATCCATGATAAGGTATTACATGCCATGAAAGTTTAATAGGCATACCTGCATTTGCAGCTCTAATACAGAGACTTCTGGTTAAGAGCTTACTGGTGGTCAGGACCTTAATATTTGAGTCACTTGCTGAAATACTATGGCATGTGCATGTAGAAGGTCATTGAATTGTCACAATTGCTTCTGGCCTTAGAAATCTGGTCATTTATAGCAATTAAGCAGAATATATAGAAACAATTCACAGAATAGTTTGGGTTGGAAAGAATCTTAAAAATCATCTAGTTCCACCCCCCCTGCCATGGGCAGGGACACATTCCACTAGACCAGGTTGCTCAAAGCCTCGTCCAGCCTGGCCTTGAACACAACTCTGGGCAACCTGT